GCGCGTAACTTATCCGGACTCCACGCCGTTTGCACGCATCGGATTTTTCGGAACGTTTCCAAAACAAAAACGAATCCGAATTTGCAGCAAAACAAAACTGCAAAAAGAGGCTGCATCTGCGCAAGGGTGAGGAGCCAATTTTTCGGACCATTCGACGCGTACGTCGTGCACGCGCGCCGCCTGCCCTGCCCTGCCCAGGCCAGGCCAGGCGAGGCGAGCGAGCGCGCGCGTGTGTTTCCCCTCTTCTCTCCACCACACATGCTTCAAGTGGCTAGGAGGGCATCCTCCCTTTTAAGGAGGTCCCCCTCTCCTAGAATAAGCAAGGTGGTACTAAACTCCACATGCATGCCATCCCATGAGGTGGGCTTTTGTGATTTTCCAAAGAATTAATCTTCGAGTGGGCTAAGACCCATTCATTAATTCCAACAGCAACATGGTCATCAGTCAGTAAAAAAAGATTCTTTGTTTTTCCTTCCAAACATCGATTTGATGTCGCCATAGTGTCCGTGTGAGATCGATCCTGTATATTAATATCGTGTCGGTGGTCTAATAGTACTCCCTCCGTTTCAGGTTATAAGACTTTTTAAGTTTGATCACGTTTACAGAAAAAATAGTACTCCCTCCATCTACTTTTGATAGTCATATTTCATCTTGGTACACAGATCAACGATAAGTTATTCTACTTATCATCCATTTAAACATGCTACTAGTCATCCTCGTGAACAAGCGATTCATTAATATTTACATTTCTCGATGCCCATGTAGCCAATTTTGTGTGGAGGAATAGAGAATCACGCATTAAATTCGAGAAATACATTGAGATGATATGTTGTTGGATTGAAATATGCTATCAAAAATAGATTTTTTAGATTTGGAAATATAACTATCAAAGGTAGATGGAGGGAGTAACATTATTTTCAACCCAAGACAAATTTATTATGAAAATATATTTAACTATTGATTTGATAAAACTAATTTAGTATTATAAATATTACTATATTTGTCAAAAACTTAGTTAAACTTAAAATAGTTTAACTTTGATCAAAGTCAAAATGTATTATAACCTAAAATAGAGGAGTAGTAGCTGGATAGCTAGCTCGATCATATCGATCGATATATTATGCATATGGCTAGCTAAGTCCAGACATGTCGATAAGTTGAGATATATCGATAGATTCGATCAATTCCGTGGTGTACTTAAAAAGCATGGGTTTGATATGAATATATATGATCATTTATCATCGCATCTCATCCTCTCTAGTTGTCAAACGACGAACGAATACGCTGCCGATTAATAGATTCATATTACAGTGATCGATCGAATTGAAGAACGTAGCACACGACACGCGCACTTCCGGTTATTGTGCTTCGATCCATGCTTACTAACTTCTCTCGTTTCGCTGCAAGCCTGAAATAAATTAATAGCTTGATATTATACATGCATATGCATACATATATGTAGCGTTAGTCATATAGTCGATCAGATCAAACCATCTAAAATGACTAAAAAAGGTGGTCAAAGTAAAACATCAGGTGCGCTACAAGAATCCGAATTTTTTTGGCAGCCAACTGATTTCTTTGACGATTAAAACAACCGCTAAGTTTAAATATATTCTTGGCGGTTCTAACTAACTGCCAAGAAAATATGACTATTCTTGGCAGCTATGTAGATCAGCCAAAAAGGTTAGAAAACTTTCCTTGTTAGTTGTCCTATCCGACAAGGAAATCTCTTTTTTCTCGGCATGCAAGCAGGGGCCACCAGGGAAAGAGGCAGTTTTGAACATCAATAAGTTATTCTTGGCAGCCCAGACCAACAAGGATAATCTTTCTTGGCGGCACTAACTGTCAAGAATAAGTAATTTTGTGATTCTAACTGTCAATTTCATTAGCGGTTTCTCAACAGCCAAGGAAAGATATATTCCTGTCTATCCAGAGCGATAAGGTTACATTTCTCGGCGCTTTCAAAAGTTTACAGTCTTCTTAATTTGCTTGACAGTCCGAGACCGTCAAGAAAACATTTTCTTACGATTAGCAGCTAAGAAATCTGAATATCCCTAACTAACTTTTTAGGCTTAGCTGCTCGACGACGTGTCGTAACCAAGCCGGCAAAAGATCCGAAGCGTGGTCGCGACTGGCCACCGTGCGCGCGCCACTACGTACTCCGATTCGCGCGCACCGGAAAAGTCGGGAGATTGCGCGACGCGGCACGTAGAAAAAGAAGATCGCCAGCACATGCGCCAGTCGTAAATGCCTCTCCGTTTCGACCAATCCACTCACAAACCCATCACCTTTCCGGCGCCCCGGCCCAGCCCAGGTACCCAGCTATCGAGCTAGCAACATAGCTGATGCGTTTGCGTGGACAGCGTACGTGGTGTGGTGGCGATCGATCGCCGCCGAAAGCTAGCAGAGGCAGACCCCCACGCACGCGCGCCGAGAGCTTGGGACACGTACAAGTAGCGGTGGGTAGAAAAAAACCGAACCGAAAATACCGAGACCGAGACTGAAAAAATCGAGACTGAGAAATTCGGTCATCAATTTAGTCATAGGTAGTGAAAGACCGAATTTTGTTCGGTCAATTCGGTTAGTCTCCTTGGATAACCGAATAGACCGAATTATAAAAAAATGTCAAAATACAACCTACAATCCACTATGTTTAATAGGATTAAACTCTAATTTTTACATCCCTACTTCTTCTATGCATGCAACCTAATAAGTGACTAAATCATAAGTGCTTACGAATTTTTTTTGGTGATTTTTGTGTTGAAAATTTCCATTATTTCTTTGCATATATGAAAATATTGTTCAATTTTGGTTATCGGTCCTTACATTTTTTCACTAAAATTCGGTCTTTATTTTTCAAAGACCAAAAAAACCGAGAACCGAGACTGGAATTTTTAGTTAGACCGAATGACCACCCCCGACGTACACGCGCGCGCCGCGCGCACCGGGTGAGTTTACGTGAAGCCGCCCGCACGCGCAAAAATCCTTAGCTGTCTCGCGGCTCGCGCGCGCGCGCTAGTGCAAACCAGCTGATTACGACGTTAATTGTCACACCGCCTCATCACATATTCACCGGTGAATCATCGCGCGCGCGAGCTACGGCGCGCGGCGACGTACACGACGATAATACGACTCCCCGTGGCTTTGGATCGCGACTCGCGGGCGGAGACGAGTAGGTATGACGGCCACCCGTGTGCGTCGCGGTCGTCGATCCGTCCGCACCACTTGCGAGTTGCGACGTCACCGATGCTCCTATATATGGAGTACATATCGATATCGTGCGTGCCAGTTCGTCTCCGTGTTGGTAGTGACACGCAAAGTCGCAGATGTGTGTACGTATATGATGCAACTGCTCGATCGCTCGCTAATAGCTGTTGCATGTCGCAATAGCGCCTGCTGTTCCATCCATCTGCCCGTTTTTGTCCGTGCCCGCTACGGCCATATATCCGTTCAACGCGGAGCTGAGGACACGCGCGAACCAAGATCAAGTGCCGTTTTTGCAGCTGGGTAGTGATTGGCGCATTAAAAATAATCTGATTTACTTTATTCTTTTAAGTATATAGAAAATTTATCGGAATTATTAATAACATTCAACAGAAAATAAAGAGGGATTTATTATAGATTTAAAATCACTCGATTTACTCGAAGATTTGTGCGCTTAACTTCTCTTGCTCGAACAACCACCGGTGGCTTGACGAGTTAGTGTTTGGGATTTTAGGACCGGGGTTGGGGCCAAGGTTAGGGTCAAGTGGTGGGGTATGGGTCAATCAGTGGAGTTGGATAGTATTGAGAGGCAGTGGCTCGGTAGCAGAACAGACAAGAGAGGATGCATCGGGTGGCCGCCGAAGCCATGGGGTTGGCAGCGGTGTAGTCGGCTAGTTTTGGAACAGGGGCAAAGTGGAGTGATTAGGAGATGTGGTCGATGGTGACAGATCCGACGACAGGGACCACCAGAGACGGAGAAGACGATGGGATGGGCGCTAGCTTCATAACGAGAGACGGGGTGGATTTGGCATAGCCTTGTCGGCGGTGGGAGCCTAGGGGCGACGCAACGGTAGGCAGAGGAAGAAATAAGATGGAGTATGAACCCCAAATTAAACCTGGTGCATGTATCTTAATAAAGCGATCCAACAATCAAGAATATCCATTATTTTTACTGTTGTTTTTTTATTAAATACTATGTAATACGGGAGAGAATACACATGCCACGTAGTAGCTCCGACGGTAAGATTCATCATTCGATCGCAATGACAAATGATTAGCATTACCCACGCGGGTAAACAAACACACAGCTGCGCGGCGTACGTAGTACTACGTAACACGAACGTCATGCAGGGACCGCATCCCAACCCCGGCCATGACCCGTCTGCAAAGCTTTGTTGGCTGCGCCCATCATGTCCTACAGGCCCCCGATCCACACACCCTGCCTGTCAAAACTGTCATCCTCCTGACCAACAGCCCCTCCCTCATCCCCTCCGCGCCATTCATTGAAGCCAAAGCCCACCACCGGATCGCGCCTCTCGTCTCGTCTGCTGCTGCTGGCCGTGGCCGCTCGCTCACTCACCCTCGCGAAGACCATCGCCCGCGCGCGCGTGGGCTCCGGTGAGTCCAACCCTCCAAACATGCCATGTCTCGCGGCTCCGCGGCCTGTCTCTCTCGCGCGCAGTCGCGCTTTGGCCAGTAGCCACCTGCAGCCCCAACCCCACCGCCCCCCGGCTCCCGGTCAAAACCACCACCCCCAACTCCCAACCGCTTGCCCCGCCCAGAAATCCCGCCTCGTCTCGGCCTCAGCCGTGTCAACCAACCAACCCGCCCTCCCCCGCCCGCGCACCGGGCAAAATGCGAGATTTACCCGTCCAAAACGCGTCGTCGCGCGGCCGAAGCGCGCGCGCGCGCGGTGCGGTGCGGGGGGCAGAAGTACTACGTGGCGGGGTGCGCGCGCGGTGCGGTGTATGGACGGCGCGGTGATTAGCGTCGCGTTACGTGCGCGCGGGGCCCCCCCGCCGATCATTTCTCCGCGCACCTGGAAAAACGCTTAAAACGCTTTTACACGCTCGCTTGCCTGTCCGCTCGGTTTGCTTCGCGCAATTCTCCCCGGTTTTTCTTGAGGCGCACAAGAACAATAAAGAGGAGGACGGACGCGCGAACAAAGGAGGAGTACAGGATACAGTCGGAGCCAGTTTAGTACTCCGAGAAAGGCAAAAAAAAAAAACACAGAGAGAGAGAGAGAGGATCAGGAGGACGGCGGCGCGAGCGTGTGCAGCCAGAGAGGCCGGCCGGCGCCCGATCGACAAGCGCGACGCGTACGGCGCCGCCACCGGCCGGCCGGCCATGAGCCGTGGCCGCGCCCGGCTTCAGCCACCACCACCTGGTACCAGAACCACCACCCTCGCCGCCGTGCTGGTCCTTGTCCTCCTGGCCGTCGTAGCGCTGCCACTGCGGTGCGATGCGGCGTCGGCGGGAGGAGAGGAGGAGGAGGAGCAGCAGCCGCTAGACTACAGGGAGGCGCTGGAGAAGAGCCTGCTCTACTTCGAGGCGCAGCGGTCGGGGCGGCTGCCGTACAGCCAGCGGGTGACGTGGCGCGGCCACTCGGGCCTCACCGACGGCCTCCAGCAAGGCGTGGACCTCGTCGGCGGGTACTACGACGCCGGCGACCACGTCAAGTTCGGCCTCCCCATGGCCTTCACCGTCACCATGCTCTCCTGGGGCGCCATCGACTTCGCCGCCGACATCGCCGCCGCCGGCGAGTGGCGCCACGCCCTCGAGGCCATCAAGTGGGGCACCGACTACTTCGTCAAGGCCCACACCCACCCCTTCGTCTACTGGGCCGAGGTACGTACGCACAGTACAAATACTACGTACTCCCGCCACTGATCGATCACTTCACATATTCATACTATCTCGCGCGCAATTCAACACGCCATGAATTCACTCTCGCTGCTGCTGCTGCTAGGTGGATCGAGAATGGTAGCAGTAGCCATTATGACGTGAGTGAGAGAGAGGCTGACGGGTGGGGGCCATGGTGGTGTGCAGGTGGGCGACGGCGACACGGACCACTACTGCTGGCAGCGGCCGGAGGACATGACGACGTCGAGGCAGGCCTACCGCGTGGACAGGGACAACCCGGGGTCGGACCTCGCCGGCGAGACGGCGGCGGCGCTCGCGGCGGCGTCCATCGTGTTCCGCCGCTCCGACCCGCACTACTCCCACCTCCTCCTCCACCACGCCCAGCAGCTGTTCGAGTTCGGGGACACCTACAGGGGCAGCTACGACAGCAGCATCGAGGAGGTCCGGAGCTACTACGCGTCGGTCAGCGGCTACCACGACGAGCTCCTGTGGGCGGCGCTCTGGCTCCACCGCGCCACGGGCAAGGAGGAGTACCTCCGCTACGCCGTCGACAACGCCGACTCCTTCGGCGGCGTCGGCTGGGCCATCACCGAGTTCAGCTGGGACGTCAAGTACGCCGGCCTCCAGGTCCTCGCCGCCAAGGTAAACCTCCTCAATTCCTCTCTCACTCTCCGCCATGCTTGATCAATTTACTCACTCATCACTCCATGGACATCGACTAGCTAGCTCCGGTTGTTAGGTTGGTGAGCCGCCCTGGCCACCAACAGTGACCAGCCTATGACCCGTACTTTTTTTTTTTACTACACGTAGGATGTGTTCAGTCCTAAGTTAAAATTGAAAGTTTAAAGAAATTGGAACGATAAGACGTAAAAGTTAGAGGTTTGTGTATAGTAAAGTTCGATGTGACGGAAAAATTGTAAGTTTAAAAGAAAAAAGGTTGGAATCTAAACAGGCCGGACTCTCGCTCTGTTCTAAAATATAAAAATTTTAAACGATCCTCTTGATACATATCGAAAAGCAATGCAGAATTAATCGGCTATTTTAAGATGTATTTTAGAAAATAGGTAAGAATCGTTATATTTTAGAATGAAAGTAATATTTTCTTCTGCTGTAAAAATATACGGTAAAATCATTTGATGTTTGACTTTTTTTTATCATATCAGTTAGATACATTCCGTTTTTAATTAGGATCGAGTGAACGAGCGATCTGGGTTTTTCTCCCTAACAAAAGGGGAATTAATGTCACCACATGGCCTATACTTTCCTTGCTCCCCAAAAGAAGCCAAGTAGGATCCCACACCCCTGCAAGCACTGCTCGCCGATTTAATCATGCCTTGAACACAAAACCAATATAATTACGCGCGATTAGAAACACGAAGAAAAATACAAACAAGCGTACACTCTACTCTGTTCCCCTCTGTCATCCGTGGAAATGTTTGGACATGGAGAGGCCTCCAAAAGACTGGACTGTTCATCGACTGAAGTCCACTTGATCTCTCCATCCTCGATCGATCAGTGAGTGAGTGAGATTGTAGCTGCAATGATGGTGGTTGGAGAAGTGAGAGAGCATATGCATCCAGTGTTGCCGTGTACTGACTCTCACATGGCTGAGCATCTGGGGCAGTACTGCCTTTAATTTCCCCCTGCTGAAAGCTGATGGGTTTTTTTATGCTAATTAAGCACGCCCCTTTTCTGCCTGTCCACTTCAGTCTTGCATGCACCCCTGCTAGCTTCAGGATTAGTTTTCCTTTCAGCATTTTGAACCATACATGCAGCTGACCCTTCACAGAAGGGATGACAGAATCATTGAAAACATCCAAAAATTAAACACAACCGCAGTGATCTGTTTAATTAGGGTTTGAACTCGCAACAACTTTTGTGACAAGTAAAAGGTGGCTTAACCACTAAGGTAATTACCCGATCCTGTCGTCTGAATGACTTAGTCCGTTCTTGGTTGGAAAAAAAGATATCGTCTTTAGCTTAGTTTAGTAGTAGATAAAGACTACTAGTACCTGATCTGTCAGTCTCACATTGCCATTGATCGATCGAGAGATGATGCGAAGATTGCAAAGTGATCACTGCAATGCATGGACCGGGACACACCAAGGTTGGTCGCCGAGTTGTAAAGCCAGCGAGGCACGTGGTGGTGACACGGCGATCGAGTTTGAATTGATGTGTCACCACTAGCCGCCGACCTGGTTGGTTGCTTAGGTCACTAGTGTGCTATTCAGGACTCCCTCCGTCCCGTAATATAAAGGATTTTGAGTGTTTGTTTACACTGTTTGACCACTTATCTTATTTAAAATTTTTTGAAATTATTATTTATTTTTTTTTGACTTACTTTATTATCCAAAGTACTTTAAACACAACTTGTCGTTTTTTATATTTGCACAAAAAATTTTTTTTAATAAGACGAGGGATCAAACAGTGCAAGCAAAAACTCAAAATATCTTATATTATAGGACGGATGGAGTATGTATCTATCTACTCCCTCCGTTTCGAAATATTTGACACCGTTGATTTTTTAGCACATGTTTAACCGTTCGTAACTTTTATGAAATATGTAAAATTATATGCCTACATGAAAATATATTTAACAATGAATCAAATGATAGGAAAAGAATTAATAATTACTTAAATTTTTTGAATAAGACGAACGGTCAAACATGTGCTAAAAAGTCAACGGCGTCAAATATTTCGAAACAGAGGGAGTATATATCTATATGTATCCCAAGGACGCTACTGCCTGAATGCAGCTTGTTTTGCTGATGCGAGAGCGTATAAGAGATGAGATTGAGCATACAAAAGATGAGATTTCTTCTTCTTCCTCCTCTTCTTCTTCCATATGACACGACAAGAATTGCGAGAAATTTGGGGGGCATGACTTTTGTTTGCTAGCTTGTAGGTAGCGTGATAGGGGTCCAATTGAGGCCAAGAGCTGACGACCAAAAACTTAGACATGGACGGCTGAAAATGCTCCTTGCATTGAGCCGGGAAACCTTGCACGATTAATGTCCATTATTTACATATACATAAATCACATGCTGGTTGTCCATCAAGGTGGATGGTTTCAGTCCGGCGTAAGTCAAGAATGAAACTGACTATTTACGTCTACTAGGAACATAGGAATTTCACCAGAAAGAGCTCTATATATATGCCGCCTTCATTTGAATTAGAGTAGTCCATTTAAACTAGAATATCCCGTGATTGTGGCATACAAGAATCCTCCGTAGCACTGCACATACAGTAGCAGCCAATAATATATGAATCCGAGTTTACGTATTAAGGTGTGTTTAGTTCACATCAAAATTGAAAGTTTGATTGAAATTGGAATAATGTGACGGAAAAGTTGGAAGTTTATGTATGTAGGAAAGTTTTGATGTGATGGAAAAGCTGGAAGTTTGAAAAAAAGTTAGGAACTAAACTAGGCATTAGAGTGGTTGCTACTTCAACTATATATAGAGAAACAATACAAAAATAATTCGTAGGACGTAGGGGATTTAGATCCTTTGCAGTACTGCACCTACACAGTAATAGCCACTAACGTATGAGTTTGGATTTGCTACCTCCGTCCCATAAAAATTGAATTTTTACCTTTGAACTTTTGTCCCATAAAAGTTATATTTTTACATTTCCTTGTAATCTTCCTTCCTTCCATCCCATCTCTAACCCATTGTCTCAACATTCCTTTTAATCAAGTTTATGTATGGAATGTGTGCATGTACTGTATTCATTAAATAGGGTTATTGTAGTCATTTGTCTATCCTACTAATATGTCCTTAATTCCCTAGAAATTTAATTTTTTATGGGACGGAGGTAGTATATGTTAGCAACTAGTAACTGCATAGACGGTGTTGTAGATAATCCCAACAACCTTGAAGACAAGAAAGTATTGGGTTACTGTAGTTCCAGGTCACTCCCTGCAGCTAGGCTGCATTTTTTTTTCTGGCCTGCAACGCATAGAGAGGATGATGACCTGTCACCGGGAGGGCCCCACGTAGGTCCAAGAATTCTACACGCCGTGACAGGGCAACCGGGGGGGGGGGGGGGGTGAGTTGGATAGGTGTGAGGCAAATGGCAATGTAGGTCCAAATTAAGATCGTCTTCATCAGCCAACAGCCCTGGCGTGGTCTTCACGGTGCAGTAGCGATCTCCCCTTTTCCACATGAGAGCTGCGAGCATCACAAATTTAATCATTTTTCCTGGCTAGTTTTGAGCTTTGAGATGACTCGTTTTTTGGCCAGAAATAGATTAAAGAAACCCTGAGCTGCTTGCTTCTTCAAGAGTACTGTAAAGTAACATCTAGGAGTACTTCCTAAATCCAAAAAAATATAAGAATTTGTAAATTAATTCCTTCGGACACCCGTAAGATTTCTAGAGTTTTACACGTGATTAAGAAAGTAAATAATATTATTAACTACACGGAACGGTTGTGATGGATAGATATTAGAAATTACGTGGAAAAAATTAAACGGGAGATGATAGCGATTGATTGAGATAATGAGTGTTCTTTTGGGGTTTTTCTTTACTCCCCTGTTTTAACTATTTTAACTTTCTTTCTTTTTCCTTAATGAAATGAAATACAATCCTCCTGCATTTTTGAAAAAAAAAAATATATTCTGAGATAAATTTTTTAACACTAGAAGTTGTTGTATTTCGAGACTCTCTTATTTCGTTTTTTAAATAAAAAAGACTAACTCTTGCTGGGAAAAGAGAACCTTTAGATTTTTTGATTCAGGAGCAAATAAACCCTGTGAAAGACTTGATTGGATCAATTGTGTGTCACTTCTAGGTCCAGTACTGAGATTTATATTTTTTTTTAAAAAAAACTTATGAATGGTCGTCCATGTGGCCATGCCCCCGAAATCTGCTGAAAATTAGCTATCATTGCCCAAGAAATCACTGTAGGGATTTTAATTTTTATTGTTTTTTTGGACTGCTAGTTGCTTTCAATATATGTAGCTGCTGCGTGAGCAACTAGTCGTAAGATGCTGACATTTTTATTTGGACATGACCGACAACAAAGTAATTAAAAAAATATATCATATATGTAGCGTGCCACTTTCCTTCTCCCTGGGTGGCCTAGTTGGATATAAATGAATTGATTTAAGCGCTTACTCTGTTTCAAAAGGAAACTAAAAGAAATGTTGTACTGACTGCATATATAGCTGATTTTTCGTTGCTACATGCCATGAAGTAATTAAAGGAAGACAATTAGGTACTTTTTCCTTTTATTATACCTTCAAGCAACTGAGTGCACGCATGATTCCTTATTTTACAAGCTACTAGTATATTAGATTAGATTAGCCACACCCACTCGGGGAAAGACCTAATCTCTTGGCACAGTTAGGGTTGGCCGAGGCCCAGCGAATTAAGGTTGTCTGGACCCAATAATTTTTAGGCACATCCACTCGGGGAAATGCCCAATCTCTCTAAAAGACTAGTCCAATAGAGAAAGGAAAGGTGGATTTCTCCTCCTAAGCTAAACAAGGTGGAATTATTCAGAGGCTCACACGGTTGCCGTCCGATTTTTTGCTTCTTTACCAACGGTTAATAGTGGAGGATATCCTCGTCATAATCTCTGTAGAACAATTCCTTGATGGAGTAAGCAAATATCGCAATCAGAGTGGTTGTTGGGCTCAAAGCAGAACATTTCCTCTGATTTAGATCGAACAGTTTCTAGATTAATTAATTATTAATTAGCAGGAGTACTATCTCTTCATGACACTCCATTATATGGAAGTACGACCGTGTCAACCCACAATAAGCAAAAATATCCATTATTGATGACTAACTACATCGAAAATGAAAGAAAAATATCTCCACCACAATAAGTTTTCATGGCGTACAGCCAGGTAATCTCCATTTCTCCAGTAGTATACTGTAGTTGTCACCTTTTTTAACATGTGGTATTAGCTACTGGTAGTGACGTTCCTCACAAGTTTGTGGCCTTTACAACAACAACAAAAAGTACTCAGTATAATAAACTGCTTTCCTAGCAAAAAGGGAAAAATAGTACAATGTAATAAATAGTGAGGACGAAGTCGATATCAATCTTACTATACAAGTGCACTTAAATTAAATTGGGACGGAGATAGTACTTGTCTATTGTTTCCAACAGAATATAAAAAAAAAATAAAGAATCAAACTGTTTCAGAATCAAATCGAATCGAAATTAATGGGTGTGTTTAGTTCATGTTAAAATTGAAAGTTTGGTTGAAATTGGAACGATGTGATAAAAAAGTTGGAAGTTTATGTGTGTAGAAAAGTTTTAATGTGATGAAAAAGTTGAAAGTTTAAAAAAAAGTTTGGAACTAAACAATGGTGGAATTGAACACCCATGATCATTTCCTCAAATCAAAATACAGAGTAAGCGCCCAACCAATCTCCCGGGCAGATGCTTGTTGGGCCCCACCTGTCGGCGACTTTATCGCGCGCCGACAGCGGCGAACTGGCCGAGCTGGACCGCAAACTAAGCTCGAAGTTGGGTTGAATGCTACTACTCCTACCGTGTTCGAGTTAGATCGATCGCTGCATTGATTAGCCAGCTCGGTCGGTCGGGTTTGTACCAGTGTTGTGGTGTTAATGTGTGACTCGCTCGCTCGCACCGGCCGACCTAGCCACGTTCCATGCTGCCACACTGTAACAACACGATGGACACTCGAGTAGCTGACAGCAATGCTGCCTTGTTCCTGATTCCTCTCACTGTTCCATCTGATTGTTGCAAAGCTATAGCTATTTTTTTTTAAAAAAATATATCACAGATATAGGCTTTTTATAAACGTGCGCATACTTATCTATGGACGGATCTAGAACGAAATGGAGGAGCTCTACTTATCTATTCCACTCTAGTTTAGATCGAGTTTAGTTTAATTGCAGGCGTGCAAGTTTGGATTGAGGATGCATATGCATTAATGCATATGGTGAAAATAGATAAGTTATAGCTAAAAAATACCTCCATTGTCATATGTAGGATATAGCTCTGTACTCATCTCTATGAACATATACACGCATACTATTGTACACACATACATTCTATAGTTTGCAGTAAAATGTTTAAATTTTAAAACTTAATTTTCGAGTTGATTTTAGGATTTCTTTTCAACATAGTCTCTTCATATAAATTATTTTATTTCGCTAAATTATAACTCGAAAATTTGTATTTCTCCAAATAAAAGATAATTTATAGTTGTATAATTTTTCTGAACTGTCACAGGTTTAGTGTTGATCATGATATCGGTTTTGCCACTGAGCTGATTGATCATTGGATTAATCAGCTGAGAGCTAATTTAATTAATCAGTGCCTTAATCTGTCATCGTGTTGCATGCAGCTGCTGCTGGACGGCGACCCGCAGGCGGCGGCGCACCGCGGCGTGCTGGAGAAGTACAGGGAGAAGGCGGAGCACTACCTGTGCGCGTGCCTCGGCCGCAACATCAACGGCGCCGACAACGTCGACCGGAGCCCCGGCGGGATGCTCTACGTCCGCCAATGGAACAACCTCCAGTACGCCTCCAGCGCCGCCTTCCTCCTCACCGCCTACTCCCACTACCTCTCCTCCTCCTCCGCCTCCGCCTCCGCGGCCCTCCGCTGCCCCGGCGGCGCGGCGGCGGCGGCGGAGATGGTGTCGCTGGCGAGGTCGCAGGCGGACTACATCCTGGGGCGGAACCCGCTGCGGCTGAGCTACATGGTGGGGTACGGCCGCCGGTACCCCGCCCGGGTGCACCACCGCGGCGCCTCCATCGTGTCCCACAAGGAGGACGGCCGCTTCATCGGGTGCGTGCAGGGGTTCGACGACTGGTTCGGCCGCGGCCGCGCCAACCCCAACGTGCTCGCCGGCGCCATCGTCGGCGGGCCCAGCCGCCGCGACGAGTTCCGCGACGACCGCGCCAACTACATGCAGACCGAGGCCTGCACCTACAACACCGCCCCCATGGTCGCCGTCTTCGCCAGGCTACACCGCCTCACCACCGCCATCACCACGGCGGCCGCGGCGGAGGATCCCGACGGCGGCTCGCCGGATCGGAGGAGTGTAGATAGAAGGTAGTGGTGGTGGTGGTGGTTTTAATTTGGGCGGGAAAAATTCTTTTTTCTTTTCTCGTATACTTTGCCTTCTTTTCTGCTTAAAAACTTCACTAAATTTTTTTGAAGTGTTAATATGAGAGAGAGAGAGGTAAAGAGAGGGGATTTGATTATTATTATTATTATTAGTGAAAAAGAAACAAGAAAAAGATAGTGGATGGGTGTTATAATTAAGGAGGAGATGAAGGTGAAAATTAGTTACTTGTATTTTTGAGGTTAGGTCTAAGAAGTCAGAACTGAACAAAAGAAAAATTAAAAGGGCTGTAATATTTACTGGAGTTCTGGTATATATTATATAGACCATTACATGTTGCCTGATTGTACATTTTCTTTCTGCTTGAGGTGAGTATTGTTTTGCAAGATTATTTACTGTCTTTGGGGCATGTTCTATGCTGTATTGGGCCGATGTTACAGAGCTTGGGAGTGGGCCTTTTAAAGCAAAATAATCAAATAATCCCTCCATCCCATTATAAGGCTCTGTTTAGTTTTCAAATTTTTTTTTCCAAAAACATCACATCGAATCTTTAACACATGTATGAAGCATTAAATATATATAAAAATAAAAACTAATTGCACAGTTGGGGGGAAATTGCGAGACAAATCTTTTGAGCCTAATTAGTCCATGATTAGCCATAAGTGCTACAGTAACCCACATATGCTAATGACGGATTAATTAGGCTCAAGAGATTCATCTCGCGGTTTCCAGACGAGTTATAAATTAGTTTTTTCATTCGTGTCCGAAAACCCCTTCCAACATCCGGTCAAACGTCCGATGTGGCACCCAAAAATTTTCATTTTGCGAACTAAACGGGGCCTAAGTGTACTTTTAAGAGTGAGAAGTGAAAGGTTAGTTGAGTGAAAAGAGAGAGATGATTTGATGGTATGAAGTGAAAGGTTAGTTGAGTGTATGATGATGATAAGTAGTATGGTACGATTATAATAAGATACAAATTAATTTTAGAATTGTATTTATAATGGGATGGAGGAAGCATATTTTGTCATTTAAGAAGCAAAATGATCAGCTTGGACTTATGTACTTTTGTCCCTCCAAAGCCAAAAGACCTCCAAACCAGAATAACAAAGTTTGCACTCTCTGAGTTGAGTGTTGACTCAACAAAAATGTCCCTCCAAATTCCAAAAAACCTCCAAACTCCAAACCAGAATAACCAAGGGGATGCCATTTTCAACCATACCATTTTTTGGTAAAGTTGCTAAAAAAATATCTACGTTTAGTTTGTTGCTAAATTTGGTAAATACATAAGAAATCTTGCCAAAATTTTGGCAATGTTGCCATGTTGCCAAAATTTTGGTATTGCTAAAACTTAGTAAGGTTTATTTTGACTATAATTTAAACATGCCCAAAGTTTCCACTCTCTGAGTTGAGTGTTCGCAACTGATGAATGTGAGGATTAAATAAAAAGCATATAAAACAATAGAGCTATTAACACATAATTATTTTAGTTTTAATTATCATAAACTTGGAAAATAGATTCATTCGATATTTTAGAGCAACTTCTACGTATAAGTTTTTGCATGAAATATAATTTGCAAAGAGTGGTAATGAAAAATGAGGTAAGATATGCTTCTTAATCAGAAAATATCGAAGCTTAAGTGTCAACAGTTAACACCCAATTTTATTATCACAAATCAAGCTAATATGCCTAATTTTGCCAAACATTATTGAGAAATGCCATCTTTTGGGAAGCTTATAATTATCCTTGGATTCGAAGCAAAGGCGAACAAGTTAAGGGCCCCTTTGAATCGTAGGGTAGAGAAAACGGAGGAATAGGAAAAACACAGGATTCTAACAGGAATTGAAATGTAAAACAGAGGATTGCAAAACACAGGAAAAACACAGGAATAGTCGTTTGATTGGAGCACAGGAAAAACGCATGAATCGGATGAGAGAGATAGACTCAAAGGAAATTTTTCAAGAGGTTGAAGCTCTTGCTAAATTTTCTCCAAAATCTACATGCAATGTGCCATTCCATAGGAATTTCATAGGATTTAGAAAGCTTCAATCTTTTAAATTAAAGGATCAAATAGAAAAATTTTCTATAGAATTTGAATCCTATAAAATTTCTACATAAATCCTCTGATTCAAAGTGCCCTAAGATGACTTTTGCAGCACTCCCGTAACCGATTCGCTTTCACACGACACCGCGACGGCTGAACCCAACCCACCACGTTGGCCGCCCACGCCGCGACCTTTCGCCGGCGGCGAACTCCCCGGCGGCGCCGCCACATGACCAGGAACCACTCCCCCAAGTCCCTCGCCGTCCTCCTCCGCGCCCGGATGCACCCCGACCCCGTCTCCCCCGCCCCGCCGCCGCCCGCTCCGACGGCGGCGGCGGCACCCGACCCCGATCCGTCCGCCCCGCCCGCCGCCGCCGCCGTCCGCCACTGGCTCCACGCCTCCGTCTCCTCCTCCGCCTCCACCGCCCTCGACCGCTTCTCCGACGGCTACCGCTCCCTCGACCGCCCCGGCCGCCGCGAGATCCTCCGCTCCCTCGCGGCCGACTACGACGTGCCCCGCGCGCGCGTCCGCGACCTCATGCGGCAGTATCTGAGCGCCGCGGCGGCGGGCGGGGAGGAGGAGGAAGAGGAGCACCCGGAGGCGGGAGGCGGCGGCGGCTCTGCGTCGGCGATGTACCGGATGGAGCGGGGGCTCCGGGAGGCGCTCCGGCCCAAGTACGCCGGGTTCCTCGAGGCCATGAACGCGCAGCCCGGCGGGCTCAAGCTCCTCGCCGTCATCCGCGCCGACCTCCTCGCATTGCTGGGGTGAGAGTGACACTGGAAGTAGTAGAGAAGCTAATAGAATTGGGATAATATTGGAAATGTTCGTCTCCTTGTTTGATATTGATATTGGGGGGCAATTGCCAATTATGCAGGGAGGAGAACTTGCCAGCGCTGCGTGCGCTGGACGGGTACCTGAAGGAGAAGCTCGTGACATGGCTCAGCCCCGCGGCGCTGACCCTCCACCAGATAACTTGGGATGATCCGGCCTCCTTGCTAGAGAAGATTGTGGCATATGAAGTTTGTGATCAGCTCACCTGTTTTGACCTTGCAGTGTGCGCTCCGGTGGCTTGACTGATGATTCGCTTCTGCTTTGGTTTTTTAGGCTGTGCATCCAATTAGGAATTTGATTGACTTGAAGAGAAGGTTGGGCGTCGGTCGCCGTTGCTTTGGGTACTTCCATCCTGCAATACCAGGTTGCTTATTATGGCTTCTTGCCCTTGTGGACTATTACTGATTATTGGTGATGGTTTGATTAAGTGTTGATAACTAGATGCATAACTTGTATTTTCCCCAAATGTTTGAGAGTTTTGTAGGGGGCAAATCAATGCATCAGTTACACTTCTTATACATTTGTAAACAAAAGTGTTTACCTGCTGCAGAACGATTGTTTTGAGTTAGTAACTAGCTTTGTTTGAGTGTTCTCACTATCTTTATTAAAATTAGGAGAACCATTGATCTTCATTGAAGTTGCTCTGCTCAAAGATACTGCCGCATCTATACAGGTTAGTTAAGTTATAGCACAGTACATCTATTTGATTATCCCAATCCATTGCAACTTATTAACTTCTATCATATTAGGAAGTTCTGTGGGATGACCCTCCAACTCCTGAGAGTGAAGCCAGATGTGCATTATTTTACTCAATATCATCAACCCAGGTAAAAAAATTTCTTAGAATTCTGGCAGCAAATAAAGTAATGTGGCAGGTAATTTAGCAACAGTGACAAAATGGTGCTTGCCTGCCAACAAACTGATTGTCTATTGCTATCAGCCAGGCCTATCTGGTATCAATCTGGGAAAATTTCTTCTCAAACGTGTGATTGAAATGTTAAGAAGAGATATGCCTTCAGTACAGGTACCACTTCCAAATTCTGTGATCATTTTTCAACCTTACTGTTGTTTTATGCTTAAGCACTGGCTGTAGCATCAGTTGTAAACTGATAATTCATCATGCTAACTAAGTTTTTTTGCCTGTATTTACTGATAAATCAAAGTCAATATGCTTTGTTTGTTGGCATTTCATACAGATTTTTGCAACTCTTAGTCCAATCCCTGGTTTCATGCAATGGCTTCTTGCTAAGCTGGCATCCCAAATAAAGTTAGCAGAGGCAGAATCACAGGATGGCAGTTTATTAGAAGGAACCAGTTCCACTTTCAGAGAATCCATCCTTTTTCCGGAGGAAGAGAGGATGATACATGATGCGGTGTATGTTCCTTTCATAAAAAAATAGCAAATTGTACTTCACGTAATTTCAACCTTTTTCATATTCTCTGTACTTATATTAAAAAATGTATTTTTGTTTTTTTTTATCTTGACCTTTGTTTTCATTTTCTTTCATAGACTTTGGTTTTCTAAAAAAATCAGTCTCTTAATTCTGGACATGCTGTCTCTTTTTCTTTTGTAGTTAACTCCATTACATGTTCATGTGAAATTTTGATCAGTCAATAGAGGAGTAAAGGTCTGCTTTGTGATTTATAATCATCTGCGCTGCTACTTTTGCTCCAGTGAACATGCTGGTGGAAAAAGTGGAATCAAACTACTGCAAGATATACTGAAATCAAGTCAGTGGGTAAAATCTGACAAATTATCTTCTGCACTGAAATCTCCTTTGATGCGTTTGTGTGCAAGGTATCCAGTAGCATCACTTCTTCTGTGTATTTTTAGAGTATATATTAGTTGCAACTGATAGTCCTTGCATATAATCTATAGGTATCTCGCCAGGGAGAAAAAACGAGGAAAAGCTCTTGATGCTGTTGCAAATTTTCACTTGCAAAATGGAGCAGTAAGTTAGCCACTATGTGCACATTCAGTTTCAAATGCTGATGCTACATAGGGGATTTAGTTTTGTAGGGTATAAAAACCAGAATTTTCTGTCTGCTCTGCTTCTGTGTGAAACTTAGAGTTATAATGACCTCTAGAACCATGTTGTTGTTTCACATGTAAATACAATATTTACCGATCTAAGCATTTCTATGCTATTTCACATTCGAAATTTTCGCTTAGTACCATAGAATGGTCTATTGAAGGAACATCTTTTTGAAACAAGTGGTCTTATCCTTACAGAATAACGCCTTGCTTTTCTGGCAGATGATCGAGAGGATAAACTGGATGGCTGACCAATCAGAGAAGGGCATTCAACAGAGTGGAGGTATCATGGTAAATTATATGTACAGGTACGCTCTTGTTGAACTAATGTTTATCCAGAATCCCAGATGCCTTCAGATGGCGTTCATGGACAATCATGTTTATGTACAATGCCACTCTTTTGTTCAGATTAGAGAATATAGAAGAGTATGCGCTGTCATATTTGGGTACAGGGCTCGCTCATACTTCATCTAACTTGCTCCAATATATCGAGGTATGAAAAGATTTGTGCTTGGAAATTGGCACGGTGGTTTTCTATTTTTCTCTTCTGCCTTTGTTTTCTCGCTGAGATGTTCTGCAACAGCCAAAGGATACATGAGCTGAAGAACACTTTTGGAAATGAAGTTTTTCATCCAGCGAAGGATTATAAGGATATCATTGGATACGGATAATAACTTAATAAGGATATCACACTTCTCCCTGGTCCTTGTGGACTTGAATTCGTCATATAAATTGTTCGTGATAATGTATAGCCGCGTGTACAGTGTACTTCTGTTTCTGATTGGCCTCGCTGCACTGGCAGCATTGTAGCACTAGGAGTAACTAGTAATTAGTTTATCTTGGCCATTCATTCTCTCCTGTTCTGGTAAATGTATCAGGGAATACGGAATACCTAAATACCTAATAGTCATAGTCACAATATCATGCATACCAATGCAAGAAGAAGCACTTACATTTGCACTTATTTGAGACCAGTGATCTCATGCATATGACTTGGTGGATGTATGTCCTGTTTTCCGCGAGCGGATAAATAAATGATTTTAGGTTTACATGGTACACTGAGTTGGGATTCCTCCAAGTGCGGGGCTCAAAACCATAGGTGAAAAGACAACCGTACATATGCAGGCTGATAGTTTTCCTGGGGACTATTCTATTCGTTCGGTTAGTGGCCCAGAAAAAAAATCCTAAATTTTAGTATCTTTTGGACGGTCCCTATTGCAAAAGATTCACATTATAGTACCCTTTCTCTCTTGCGACGTGAATCCGTGTGTTCCCCGCTCATGTCGCTGCCATTATCTTCCCCATGGGTGGATCTAGAAATAGATTATAGGAGCTCATCGTCTTCTTCCTTCTTTCTTACCTTTCCTGTTCTCTTAATGGTGATCTACCGCGGGTAGGGGGGTTTGAGTGCCCCCTCCCCTCCCAAAACCCACACTAAGATCTACCCCTGCTCTTCCTCACCCTGTCCTACGTTGTTTATTCTCTCTTGCGACGTGTATCTATGTGGCCTCTGTTCGTGTTCATACCATTCTCGCCTCCACTCACGTGCAAGTTGAGCCCTGTCATATTGGCCTCCTCCCATTGCTCCTCCTTCCAAAGCCAAGTGATGATATGGTGCCCTAACTGTCGATCTTTCTCATCTTTGATAATTTGCAATGTTGGAGACACCACCACCATTCTCTATCTCCTCACTACTCTCGATCCCATGTCCCCCCATCCCCCCACTGATCCACTCACACCCACCCCTCCCCCCCTCCCCTCCCCCCCCCAAAAAAAAATAATTATAATATAAAATGCGACATCTTATCTGTAAGCAGCAAATATGATATTAATCCACCACAGAATAATACTTCCAACTTCCCCATACAATTATTGAAGTTAAATATGGTACGCTTGCATATAGATGTTGCAAGCAAGATATATTAGGCCCTGCCTCACCACAATAGAAATGCTAAGCTAGCTAGGTGGAATCATTTTTTAAAGGTATTTGTAATTGGCGTGTGCACTGAGATGTGTTAGGATCTTATTCAATTTCTCTTTGCACAAGGCACACTGCTGGATAGTAGCGGTCTAGTTCCAGAAACAAACGCTGAAGCCATTAGGGTGGCTAGGTCAAGAGGGGTACAAACAATCATTGCAACAGGAAAGGTAAAGCTAACTTTGTTCTACTCAGGTAATTTTGTAATTAAAGAGAAGTTTGTTTCCTGTCTCAATGTTAACTAATTTCCATGTTATTTTTTGGAAACAGTCCCGCGCTGCAGTTATTGAAGTTCTTGGCAAGGTTAATTTAGTTGGCACATGTGTCGTTTCAAAATTGTCTCCAGGAGTATTTCTTCAGGTTAGCTGGGTGCAATAGCTTGGCACTTTTCTATGCTAGCAGGGTTTGTAAGTTTTTTTTTTCTATTCCTCTATATGCTTGCAGGGTTTGTTAGTTTAAGGCGAGGGGGCCAAAAGTTATATCAAAAGAATTTGGATATAGAAGTGTGCAGAGAGGTAAGCTGCACAAACACTATTGATTAACATGTTTTTAAACTCTTGTCCGCCATTATTGTAATTAAGGTTGGTGCTCTTGGCATTTCAGGCGCTTCTATACTCTCTGGAGCACAGAGTTGCCCTGGTGGCCTTCAGCCAGGACGACTGCTACACAACGTTTGATGATAATCCTCTGGTGGACTTTTTCCTGGTGTACCACGAACCAAAGGTGCGGCGGCATGTATTTCTCTTACGAATGATTTTCCTTTTTTTTTATTACTAGTAAAACAAATTCGTGCATTGCAACCCAATACATACAAAAATTAGACTATGTTTCAAAAACAATTAGACTTCATATCATCGCTAGATGACAAAAGAAACTATGCACCATGCGGATAGCTAAAGCCTAAGAGCATCTCCCAGAGAGGGCCAAACATGTTCCTAAAAATTAACTTTTGGGATTTTGGTTAAAACTAGGTCTCCAACAGACTGTCGATCATGGTCCTAAAATTTACCCATATCTAAAATCGGTGCCAATCTCATCAGAATTTGGGAAGCGGTACACCCTCCCAATCACACAAATCGCGCCATTTTTTTACTTCACCTCTAGCAATTTGAACTGTTTACTGACTACGGCTTGAAAGAACACTTATAAAACTCTTGGCCTCTGTTCATGTTCATACCGTTCTCTTCCCCACTCGCGTGCGGGGTGAGCCCTATCAGATTGGCCTCCTCCCATTGGCCATTGCTCCTCCATCCAAAGCCGAGTGACGACATGGTGCCCCAACTGTCGACCTTCCCCGTCTTCGACAATTTGCATTGTAGGAGACACCACCACCATCCTCTATCTCCTCACTACTCTCGATCCCATGTCCCCCCATCCCCCCACTAATCTACTCACACCCACCCCCTCTCCCCCTCCCCCCTCCCCCCCCCCCAAAAAATTGTAATATAAAATGCGACATCTTAGCTGTAAGCAACTAATATGATATTAATCCATCACAGATAGTATTTCCAACTTCCACATACAATTATTGAAGTTTAAATATGTTACGCTTGAATATAGATGCTGCAAGCAAGATATATTAGGCCATGCCACACCACAATAGAAACGCTAAGCCAGCTAGGTGGAATCATTTTCTAGAGGTATTTGTAAATGGCTTGTGCCACGCTGCTTTCGTCGTTGCTCGAGCCGATAACGTCGGCTACCACCTTTGTCACCTCGCAGCCGTTGGAGAGCGCGAAACCAAGAGGCCGACAAGTTGGAGCATCTCTTTATCGTTTTCTCCATCGCCTAGTGCCATGACCTGGTTAAATGAAACGGGAAGAAAATGTAAGTACCTTTACTAACATGTATAGCGAATTAATCATTGTGCTGGTAAAAGTAAGATGACAGGATTAGGTACCTCATTTGGACTAGCCCAAAGTGATTCCAACAGAATTTTTACCCCGTTTCCTTTGGAAGTCCCGAGCGGCACAACTTCAAGCACATCACTCTGTGCCTGAATGAGAATGACATGTGCCTTTCCATCAACCCTCCTCGCCCAGTGTGGCCTCAGCATAGACGAGATCACTTCCCGAGTTTCTAAGAACACAAACTTCTGCATTTTTCCCTTATAGCAAATGAAGCAATATGATGATAGAAGAAATGAAATGCTTAGACTTCTAATAAAGTTCAAGCATTTCATTTCTTCTATCACCATATTGCTTCATTTGTTATAATGGAAAAATGCAGAAGTTTGTGTTCTTAGAAACTCCGGAAGCGATCTCGTCTATGCTGAGGCCACACTGGGCAAGGAGGGTTGATGGAATGGCACAGGTCATTCTCATTCAGGCACAGAGTGATGTGCTTGAAGTTGTACCGCTCAGGACTTCCAAAGGAAACGGGGTAAAAATTATGTTGGAATCACTTTGTGCTAGTCCAGATGAGGTACCTAATCCTGTCATCTTACTTTTACTAGCACAGTGAATAACTCGCTATACATGTTAGTAAAGGTACTTACATTTTCTTCCCAATTCATTTAACCAGGTCATGGCACTAGGCGATGGAGAAAACGATAAAGAGATGCTCCAACTTGCCGACCTCTTGGTGTTGTGCTCTCCAATGGCTGCGAGGTGACAAAGGCGGTAGCCGACTTCATCGGCGTGAGCAACGACGAAAGCGGCATGGCACAGGCCATTTACAAATACCTCTAGAAAATGATTCCACCTAGCTGGCTTAGCATTTGTATTGTGGTGAGGCAGGGCCTACTATATCTTGCTTGCAGCATCTATATGCAAGCGTACCATATTTAAACATCAATAATTGTACGTGGAAGTTGGAAATAGTATTATGTGGTGGATTAATATCATATTTGCTACTTACAGCTAATATGTCGCATTTTATATTATAATATATATATATATATATATATATATATATATATATATATTTGTGGGGGGGGGGGAGGGGGTGGGTGTGAGTGGATCATTGGGGGGATGGGGAGACATGGGATCCAGAGTAGTGAGGAGATAGAGGGTGGTGGTGGTGTCTCCCACAATGCAAATTGTCAAAGACGGGGAAGATCGACAGTTGGGGCACCATGTCGTCACTTGGCTTTGGCAGGAGGAGCAATGGGAGGAGGCCAATCTGACAGGGCTCACCCCGCACGCGAGTGGGAGAGAAAATGGTTTGAACATGAACGGAGGCCAAGAGTTTCATAAGTGTTCTTTCAAGCCGTAGTCAGTAAACAGTTCAAATTGCTAGAGGTGAAGTAAAAAAAAACAAGAGCCAAGAGTTTCCACCACAAATGCATACCAACAGATGTATGAATAATTCTTTTACTATGCATTCCACCTACTTATTTCTACTGATACTATTTTGCACATCAACAATGATATAAGATATCCTAAATTAACTTTGCATTAATTTGATAGTAGAGAAAAGGAAACAAGGTCAAACAAAATGATCATATCATCACAGATTCATCATTCATCACAGCATACCATCCTAAATTTTAAATCTAATCATCCAAGAGATGACACTCTGGATTGGGAAGATCCACGGAGAAGAAAAGAAAAGAGTTGTTGCTATGAAAATACCTCAAACAGAATCAGTAGCAGCACACGTCGTCGTCGGGGATGTCATGGTTATAGATACCACATACCTAATAGTAGTTGACTAAGCTCAGCAGGGTCCACCATATACTAAGTCTTATACGGAATCATACCTCGTATATAGAAGAAGTTCCGGATAAGGAAGGACGAATAGAGTTCTATTTGGAAACGACAAGGACTATCAGATTGTATCCATATTGATCTCCCTAGTTCTACTTGGACAAGGGGACACCTATGGGTATAAATAGACCCCCTAGGAGGATGGGGAGGGGAGACACGAAGACATATACAGTGATATAGACCAATACAAGCCAACACACGCCAAGACAAGCCGTCAGATATCGACATCAGAGATAAGTCTAGACAAGCCCTAGATGGTGTTTGCGGAGGCCGACAAGAGGGATCTAGCGCTATCTCTGATCTCGCCGAGTGCGGATTTGAGGAGGAAGACTACCACGTCGTCGACTACGTGATGGTATTCCAAGCCGCCAAGTCGACGACGGTTAGATAGGTTATCCCAAATATTGTACTGGTGTGGTTATGATGAATAAAAGCAACATTGGCTTCAGCCAACAGGAGTAGGGCTATTACCTGTCAGATAAGGGGCTCGAACTTGTATAAAAATCCTTGTCTCCATCTCTTTTACTTCAATCTTGTATATACCATAGTACTAACGATCCCCATACTATGCAAAATACTGTAGTCACGGTACCACCCGTCGATAGGGGCAACCTGGAAGTAGCAGCACACGTCGTCGTCGGGGCGACCTGGATGGATGGTTGACGGCGACCTGCACTGAGGTCGGCGGTGCCTTGGACGGGCGGCTGCCGGCGCTCCAGATAGAGAGCCGGTGCCCCCTGGACGGATGACAAGCAGCGACCTGGGCGGCCGAACGCGATCTAAACGAAGGCCGGTGGTCCCCTGGATGGGCAGCCGTCGGAGCCTTGGACGGAGGGTCAGGGGTAACCTGGATAGGCAGCCGACTGCGCTCTGGACGGAGCTGGTCCGAGGAGACCCAAAAACCCTGAATACGGCGGTGTGGGCACTGGTTCTTCACGAGAAAGAAAACAGCGCGAGAAGGGGAAATTGAAGGCGCGAGAAAGGGAAAGGAAGTGGGTGGAAAAAATAAGTTGGCGCGGACCTATAAAAAAATAGCGCGATTTGTGTGATTGGGAGGGCGTACCGCTTCCCAAATTCTGATGAGATTGGCACCGATTTTAGGAGGGGGTAAATTTTAGGATCGTGATTGATAGCCTGTTGAAGACCTAGTTTTAACCAAAATCCCAAAAGTTAATTTTTAGGAACCTGTTTGGCCCTCTCTTAGAGATGCTCTTAGGCTTTAACTATGCGCACGGTGCAGAGTTTCTTTTGTCCTCTAACGAGGATATGAAGTCTTTTTTTTTTGAAACATAGCCTAATTTTTATATGTATTGGGTTTCGTTGTAATGCACGAAATTGTTTTATTTGTAATAAAAAAAAGGAAAATCATTCGTAAGTGACGTACGTGCCGCCGAACCACGTACGTGCCGCCGCACCTTTGGTTCGTGGTCCACAAGGAAAAAGTCCGCCAGAGGATTATCATCAAGCGTTGTGTAGCAGTCATCCTGGCTGAAGACCACCAGGGCAACTCTGTGCTCCAAGAGAGTATAGAAGCGCCTGAAATGCCAAGAGCACCAACCTTAATTACAATGGCAGACAAGAGTTTAAAAACATGTTAATCTCTGCACACTTCATATCCAAATTCTTTTGATATAACTTTTGGCCCCCCTCGCCTTAAACTAACAACCCCTGCTAGCATATGGAGGAATAAAAAAAAAACTTACAAACCCTTCTAGCATAGAAAAGGGCCAAGCTATTGCACCCAGCTAACCTGAAGAAATACTCCTGGAGACGATTCTGAAACATTACCACCTGTGCCAGATAAATTAACCTTGCCAAGAACTTCAATAACTACAGGGCGGGACTGTTTCCAAAAATAACATGGAAATTAGTTAACATTGAGACAGGAAACAAACTTCTCTCTAATTAGCATTAGAGCAGGTACAATAGTAGGTTATAAGCCAGCTGCAAACATATTTTAAGAAGATAAATCAGGAGAGAGAAGAGCAGCGGGCTACAGATTTGTAGCCAGCTGTAGCACGGACTTCAAGACGCAGTGTGTCTATGACAGGTGGGACTAGGTATTAATAGTGTAGTATGTAACTATTGTATGAATGAACTATTATATTGGCTATATATGAATTGGAGCTAGTAGTTGGCTATACTATTGAACTTGCTCTTACCTTTCCTGTCACGATGATTGTTTGTACCCCTCTTGACCTGGCCACCCTTATGATTGTTTGCAAAGAGATTGAATAAGATCCTAACACATCTCAGTGGAAAGATAAATTGAATAAGAAAACATACCATCCATATCACAAAAAATGTACTTAGCTTGAACTTGGGTTGATAAAACATGCCGGCTCCCTCGTGGACATTGGCCAAATGTCCTGTACATATTTGAGCAAGCAATACCAAGCTGGGGTTAGTTAATTACCAGCCATCAGACAGGCATACAAGAAAAAAAAAATCATGTGACATAATTACAAGCACACAAGAAAAAAAAAATCAAGAAATACAACTACTTTTTAAATTTACTCATGTTTTGTATAATACGTACACTATTGAAGATCCGCCATTAACTCATATATATGCATGCATGCTCTTACTACACATGTATATAATATACTCATAGACTCAGTATAATAATATTTATGCAGATACTCCATTCGAAAAAGTAAGTATATATATACGCATAGACTCAGTATAATAATATATACACAGATACTCCATTCTAAAATGTACAAATACTCCATTCTAGAAAATATGGGCCTGTTTAGATCAATTTGCTGCGGCAAAATTTTTTGGCAAAAGTTTCGGTGGCAAAAGATTTGGCATTGGAATTTTACAAGTTGGTGTTTATTTACATGATAAAATTTTCTCATTTTTCCATTAATTGCATCTTATTAGTTACTGCTGCCTCTCTCATGCACTCTACCAATCTCTCAGGCACGAGGCCTGACTTTTTTTTTTTTGCCAAATTTGCTACTATGGACTCTCAAATGACAAATGCTTGTCTATTTTTTGCTACTAGTGTTTACATCCATTTTGCCAAAAAAGTGGTCCAAAATGGTAAAACTTTTGCCATTTTAGAGGATCTAAACAGGCCATATGTACAAGTACTCCATTCTAAAAATTATATATGTACATGAAAACTCTTCTAGAAAAAAGTATATATACCTATTTTTCCGCCAATAATATATATACACACATACTCCCTTCTAAAGTATGTACATATACTCTCATCTTAGAAAGAATTTATGCAGACTCTTGTAAAAAAAGTATGTATATATATTTCCAAATGCGTCGTTCAAATAAATGTATGTATATATACTCATATTTTATTGATATACACATACTTATTACTCCATTAGTCCCAAAATATAAGCATTTTTAGCACAGTGACAAGTCAAACATTTTTTAACTTTGACTATTAATAAAAAAATAAAAAAGATCAATCATGTAAAATTAATGTTACTAGATTTATTATTAAACAAATTATCATAGTATGCAACTCTTTTTATTTAAAACATTTTATTTTTATAGATATTGTTGGTCAAAATAACATCTCAAAGACCATATCAAAGTTTAAAAATGCTTATATTTTCGGACGGAGGGAGTAGGTCATTTTATTTATTTATTTTGCTTAGAGAACATACTCTAGTACATACGCTAAGAGAACATACTCTAGTACATACGCCCATATAATAGTATGAACCTATGCATGCATACTCGCAGTTTCACTAATATGTGCTCATACGGCCGGCCGATAAAAATTTATATATGTACGTCTTCATACTCATTAGGTATATACTCCCTCCGTTTCTAAATATTTAACGTTGTTGACTTTTTTAAACATGTTTGACCATTCGTCTTATTAAAAAAAGCAATTATTAATTCTTTTCCTATCATTTGATTTATTGTTAAATATACTTTTATATATACATACACTTTTACATATTTCATAAATTTTTTTTAATAAGACGAATAGTCAAACATATGGTAAAAAGTCAACGGTGTCAAACATTTAGAAACGGAAGGAGTATATAGATATATGCATACTCCAAATATAATATTGCTTAGGTATACATACGGCCGGTATTAGTACATATGCATATATATACGGCCGATAAAAAGAAATAAATTGGGTATTCAACAATATTTTTTCCAATGCATATGCATATGCAGGTGGAAGCGAGAGATCGAGAGAGAGAAGTGTACCTGCTGATCCGGGGAGCGAGTTCCAACCAACTGCCCTCGCGATCGCCGTGCGCGGCTTGACGAGAGAGCGGGACGTCGTCCTTCGTCTCGCGTCGGAGCTCGCTGCCATGCGCGCGCGGGTACGTTGTTGACGAGCAGGCGGCCGACGTCCACGGCTCGCGTCGGAGCTCGCCGCCGGCCATGGCCTCCTCCTAGCTCGCTGCTCTTGTCTCTCTGGTGCGCCATGTCTCTCCCTAGCTAGCTAGCTCTCGACTCGACGGACTCAACAGGTGAGATATGGCCAACTATACTGTGATCATGATCCTCTCAGCTGGCTCGATCGATGCACAAGACATGGTAAGAGCTCTCTCTCTCTCGGCTGAAGCTTCTGCTCTAAATTAAGGAAGGGTTGATGTTAGCTGGCAACCGCTTGATTGTTCAGTCTGACTGCGTGGAGGTTGTCGAGATCATGGGCAATTAATGGTGGTTTTACAGCTAAGGTCTTGTTTAGTTCGTGAAAAAGAAAATTTTTTGGTGTCACATCAGATATTTGACCAGATGTAGGAAGGGGTTTTCGGACACGAATGAAAAAACTAATTTCATAGCTCGCCTGGAAACCGCGAGACGAATCTTTTGAGCCTAATTAATCCGTCATTAGCTGTCACGACCGAGAAAATTGTCTTTTGCCGAACGCTAGTGTATTAATCCCCGTCCTAGGAAAAGCCGGGGTACACCAAACAAACATGATACAAAAGGCACATCTTTATTATATCGATAATATTTACATTATTACAAAGGCTCTTCAGGCCTGACAATCAAAAATAAACAGCAGCGGACTAGCGGGCCTACGGCTCCATCTTCACAGGCGCTCAACTGGGGTATAAGCCAGGACTCCACCTAAGACATCTTCTCCAAAGCTTCTCTTACTGAAGGGGGAAAGATTGAGCAAGAATGAGTACAACCACAGTACTCAGCAAGTCACACAGGGAGATGCATGATTAATGCGAGGGAGTACAAGGGGATAATAATAGGGGTTAAGTTTTGCAGTAAACAGCATTTAAAAGTCACTTAGTTGCCCAAAGCTATTTTGTAAACACGATCCTAGCGCTATACAATATTATTACTCAAGGCCGTGGACCCACACGAACCTGCCTTAACCCAAGGCCTACGATGATTCAGACCGAACTGGCAACCCGACCCTGGGTCCCAGCTCGTCCCAAGCCAACCCAGGCCAACCATTCCACATTTTAGTTGTTAAGCAGGTTTTAAGAATTTAAAACACTAACTTGGGTACATTGCTAGGCTTGCCCATAACCGAGGGCGCGGCTATTCGAATAGATTATACTCTGATCAGAGGTGTACATCTTTACCCACAAGATACATCTTCCTCACGTGTAACCACGTGCCACATACCACCACGGCATACGGACAAAAGACGTGACATAGTTCCCAACCCATCCTAGCCATAGACAAGAGTACCGACCCAACCCCACCTACGGCCGGAACCTCCGGGACAGGTAGGCAGGACTGAGCCCCTAGCAGCAGGACACCAGCCCTGTGCCACGACATCTCGACTACCGGGCCGCAGCTCGTGTAGCCTTCATTTGTCCTAGAGATGTCCATCGACCCCCGACTTCATCCATCTCCATCCGTGTACTTTTGTTTATAACCAGACTGAGCCACAAACTAAGCCTTACCCACTAGACATGTGGAAGTACGGTAGTGCTTTGCAACAGAGGCCCGAAGACCGGTCCTTATGTGGCCGAGGTGCTACTAATAAAACCATGCACCCCGAGCCCAGCCTAAAACCATTTTGAGGGTTTTGAATAGAGGGGGAGGTGTGCGTCCAATTCCACAATAATCCAACCATTCCATAATGTCCAAGTGATATGAATATTCCCAAAGTCTAGAGTTATAAAACCACCTAATGTTGCCTAATTAATCAGCGAAGCATCTACCTAAATTCTTACTAGTGGAACCATGAATAGAGTACCCACTAGTTGGGGTTTTGTTTAATCTAGGGTGAACAAGGTAATAATAACAATAGCAATAATAATAAGGTCATAACAAAGGTAAATAGGCATGGCTAAATAAAACAGTGATAACGCGGGAATTTAAATAAAGCGATAATGCATTAATTTAAATCAAAATAATTTTATAAACTGGGATTCAATATGCTCAAGGATGATGTGACTTGTCTTGCTCAGAGAGAACGGCCTGCTGAACCTTCGGCGACGACCGCGAACCACGCTTCGGGAACCTCCGGAACGACAGAAGCTACGCGAAGCACACAAGCAAAGCTACAAGCCTATAAAGAAGCAGTAACAATACATAAAAAGAAAGCACAGGGTTCTTTAGGTTATAACAAACATTAGGAGACTTGAACGGGTCGATTCAGAGTTCGTATGACCAAGATATGATCATCCGAAGTTTAATGCTGTTATATGGAGATTTGCGGATTATTATAATTAAGCTTTGCAACTATAAAACATGTGGAAGCGCTAGCCTGGAAAAGACAGGAAGGCTGCGCTGTTGACATGCGGACCCCACATGTCAACCTAAAGGACCGCGGTAGACCGAGTACACAGAGACGGTCCACGGGTCGACGGAAGCGGACCCCGTGTGTCAACCGAGGCGAGTGGTCGACAAGCGGACTCCACTAGACACCACGCGGGCTGCACTCGTGGAAACCACGCGGCTACCGGGCGGGCACACTAACACGGTCACCACACGCACAAGCGAACGACTACCGGCACCGGTACACGGGTACCGGGGTCGACAACCGCACAACGGGCACGGGCGACACCGAAAGGACGAGGACGGGGGCGGCGAGAGGACGGACCCTTACCACCACGCGACGAGGCGTGGGAACGACAACGACGAACGGGCGCGGCGGAGACGGCCGGGAACGACGGAGACGAACGGCGAGGGGACGACTTCGGCGGCGATTCTTGGACGAAGGCGAGACGCGGCCGGCACAAGGCTTGACGACGCGGAGCCGAGGACGAAGACGATGACGGGGCTGCAACGGCTCACTTGACGGAACGCGGACGACGAACGCGAACGGCTTGACGGAGGGACGAACGCCACGACGATGAGGACAACGAGAGGACGACGACGACGACGATGACCGGGGCCGGCGAGGAGGCGACGAGGGCAGCCGACAGTGGCTGCACGGAGACGAGGACGGCGCGGAACACGCCGCTGCGATGACGACGACGGAGGCGGCGCCGCGAGACGACGAGCCGGGCGACCGACGGGACGTCGACGACGAGAACGAACGGAGACGACGACGATGGACCGCGGAGGGGCTTGGATGGAGGGGAAGCGATGACGAGGACGACCTTGCCGCTGCGATGCCGGAGGTGGAGATGGCGACGTCGGCCGGCGCACTGGCACGGCGGAAGGGGCTGCCGGAGTGGGTGCCGACGAGACCGAGGGAGAGGCGGCGCGGGCGACGGCGTTCCGACGAAATACGGGCGACGCCGTGGCTTGGCCGGGGAAGAGGATGGCGTTCCGGTGCCGGGAGAGGTGGTGGCGACGTCGGCCGGCGCACAGGGGACGCGGCAGAGGCGGCCGGAGGCGGAACAGTGGCGGCAACGCCACTGTTGCCGGCGGGGATGCACTTCCGGAGGTCTTCGCGGGAAACAGAGGGCAGGCCGGCGAAGAGGAGGCGGCTGTGACGCTGGAGGAGGCGACGGCACGGCCGGCCGGCGTGCTGACGCGGCGGCAGGGGCGGCTGAAGACGGCCGGCGGCACGGGAGAGAGAGGTGAGCGCGGGGAGAGCGTTTCCGGCGACGGCGGCGGACGGGACTTGAGGGGGATGGGTAGAGGACGACTAGGGGGTCCTTTATATAGCCATGGGAGGCCGGGATCGAGCCCACATCGACCGGAAAAACTCGGGAAAGTTTATCTTCGCCGGAAAAAGGAAAGGATTTGATCCGCGAAATTGGAAAGAATTTCCATATAAACTTTTGAGGATTTCTTGGGGAAAAGGAAGAGGAGATTGAGAGGATTCCATTCCCGCAACTAATTTGGAAAAAGGAGCAACGGGGAGGCGAGATTTGGAAGGAGGAGGCGGCGGCACTGTGCGCGGCACGGCTGGAGAGCTCGGGCTCTGCCTGAGCTGGAAGAAGGAGCACTGTAGCGCGGGGGACGTAAAACAGACTTTCGGCCGGGCTGAGAGGAAGGGAGGGAGGCTTTGGGGCCCAAAGGGAGGAGGGGGATTTATTATTTTTTTTAGTTTTTCTTTTTAGTAAACTTTGTTAATTGTTGTTGTTGTTTAATAAATATTTTCGGTGCTCTGAGAATTTAAGTAAAATTTGAGGGCTCCTTTTAGACCAAGGAGAATTTAACAAAAATTCTCCGGACCACATTCGAATTTTTCTGGTACGTATTTTAGTGTTTGCCAATTTCTTTTCGAATTTTAATTAATTCTATTATTCCTTTTAGAGAATGATTTTTAATTTTGGGATGAATTTATCAGGACGTGACATTAGCACATGTGGGTTACTGTAGCACTTATGGCTAATCATGGACTAATTAGGCTCAAAAGATTCGTCTCGCGGTTTCCATCGAAACTGTGCAATTAGGTTTTTTCATCTATATTTAATACTCCATGCATGTATCTAAAGATTCGATGTGATGTTTTTGGAAAAGAATTTTGGGTAACTAAACCGGGCCTAATTCTGCTGCTGCAATTTATGATGAATGTGTTTTGGTTTGGGGCGGATTCCAGGAGGTTTCAATCGAGCATTTAAACAAGAAAATAAGTTGACACATGAATTAGCTAGGCCGGCTATGCTTTGCCTTCTGAAAATGGCCATCACCCGCATTGTATTCTTGGCATGCCAACTTCCATCGGATATTACACGCATGTTTTGTGTGGCTGGAAATTGAGATCTGGCCCCAAAAATCAGGCCTTACACAGTGCAAGGCACGCATAAAAAGAGAGATAAACAGGTCTTTGCTTTTTGCCAATAGGAGGGGTAGTCCAGACCTTCTCTCTTCTCTCAGCAGGCTTTTCATGTGAGGAATATTTGCCTTTTGCCGATGGAATGGGTGGTCCAGGCGTCCAGCAGGCTGTTGAGCCCCCAAAATCTGCATTGAGGCATTCACACCAAACTTCCCATGAACTTCCAACTTTCCATCACATCACATCACATCCAAAACTTTTCTACACACATAAACTCCCAACTTGTTTTCCAAACTACTAACTTTCTCTAAACTTCTTTCCAATTTTAGGAACTAAACACAGCATGAGTTGAGGCCCATCCTCAGTGCTGATGACAACATCTTCCATCATCATAGCCTCATAGGGAAAATCCTCAACAACCATGATGCTCTATGATATGATAGTACTCCATGATACAGCTCCTGAAATAGAGGAACAAGATCAGAGATTTGAGTAGGGATACAAAGCCCATGATACAAAATGTCACAATAGTTGCAGATCGATGGCATTTGACGATTTTGCATCTGTAGTGAGTGGTCATGGTTATACACGGATTCAATCATGAATCGTCATCATACAAGAAGACCCAATAGAATTCTCTACAATTGCACTGCACAAATAGTAACCGGCAGAAATGTTGGGAGCCATAAAATGGTACGATGGATTGGATCGAACTGAAAATGGATTAAACATCTACTTAAATTGGTACTCGCCTTTTTTTTTTTGTTATCAAATTCATCTTCCAAGGTGTTGAAGTATAAGAAAGACTAGATGTTGGGGCGTGCCACCTGCATATAACTTATTTTGAAATTGATGGAAACTGTGACCAACCACATAGAAG